AAAATTCTTGACAGATCTTGATGAAGTGGGGAGAATACTCCAATGATGTACAGTTCATCCTGCAGAGGTCAGCCCTTGACCCAAAAGCTCCAAATGGCCAAGCTGGGCCCCGGCCAGGTGGCCCACAGAGAGTGGACCCTCCAAGTAGGCCTGCAGCTCCTGTAGGCTCTCATACTGGACCTGAAGGACAGAGGCAGTCCTCCCACACTCACAAAGACCTCAAGAAATCACTTACTTTTAGTGGAGGTCATGCAGAGCTAAGACGTCAGGAAGTAGGGGTGCCCCCACAGCCGTTGCCTGGCCCTGCTGTAGTACATTCTGGGGTGCATCAAGGTCCTCGCCATAATGACCCAGCATATTCCTCCTCTCCTGTCGCGCAGTGGGAGGGCCAAGGTCGAGCAGGTGAAGGAAGCCGGGGAGACCAGCAGACTGGTGTACCTAGTTGGCGTCCACCAGCTCCTCCACCTTATGAGTTGGTGCGCGGTAACCCACCACCCCCACCTCCAGTGTCTAGGGTGGGGGTAGATAATGTTAGGGCCACAACTAGTCACTGGACCACTCCACGCCAAGGTCCACATTCTCCTACAGCAGCACACCACTCCCCTCCCTCTGCTATCCACCACTCTCCCACAAGGTCTCACCCCTCTGCTAGTGAGTCAGCATATACCACTTCCAGGAGAGACCAGAGAGCAGATTCACAGTCCATGGTCAGGACAGAACCAGTTTACAGTGATGGTCGTCGAGGACAGTACCCTGGCTATCCACTTCAAGGTGCTGGTGTTGGTATTAACCCAGGACCTCAGTATGGGCCTCGTGGTCATGCACCTCCTAGTCAAGTCCCCCCAATGTATAATGGACCACCCCCAAAACCACCACATCCTGTTGGGCCAAGAGAGCTTCCTCCTTATCGTCATCCCCCACCTCCAACTTCATCCCCTAACAAAGTTGCACCATCTCATGGTTCTCCTAGGAAAATAGGGAGTCCCCCTCAGCCTCCTCAGATGTCACCTAACAAACAGCAACAACCACCAACTTCTCATGTGCCACACTTAATAAACAAAGCTTCAAATCCACACCAATCCACCCCCTCCCCTCACTCATCCCCAGTACGTCACCCGTCTCCTACACGCCACCCTTCACCCTCACGGCATCCATCACCCACAAGGGCTGGCTATCCTGGTAATGTGCCTACTACAAGTGCAGCAAGTCCCATCAATCACATAAAAGGTGGGAGGCCTGGAAGCCCCATCAAGAGCGGTAATCTCAGGCATGTCAATAGTGATGATTCACCAAATCGTGCCAATATGGAAAAGCCTGAAAAGTCAAGAGCATCCAGTGAAGAGCCACCATTCAGACATGGGGAAAATAGTACAAGGATAAATGATGGCACCAGAGGGGATAATGCCAGAGAAACAGATCCATTAAATAATAACATGAAAATTACATTGGATCCAAAAATAAGCCAGAGAAGAGGAAGCATGGATAGACTGGGAGTTGATGGTGGAAACAACACAGCAGCTCGCCGAGGAGGCAGCGAGGAGCCAGCCACAAATAATGAAGGAAACCAATCTAATTTGAATGAGAAATTGAACACCTCTTTAGATTCTGCTCTGAGCAACCACAACAGCAAGTCCCCACATGCTCGCAGAAGCCCAGCTAAGGTCAGTAAATATGTCATGGGTAGATATTTGATCAGATACTGGAGAGAGAGTAAGGACAGCTATACAGCATGTTGCATTCCGAAGAAAACCTGGGGCAAGCTATTACTCACATTAATCTTGGTTTTTATTCCATAGATGCTATTTAGTATGAAAATGCTGACCAGACTTTAATTTCAGTAATATTTCAATCCTTTATTTGGAATCAATGAAATAACAGCTGTCCACCTAAGATATCTTGACAATGACAAAAGCACTATTTACAAGCTTTATGATTCTAATTTTCTTATTTACAATGATAATAGTATTTTTTTGTTGACTATAAACTTTTATAGGTATTCATTCTCAGAATACAGCGCAGTGAAAGAATTATATCAAAAGAAAACCTGAAAAACTGTTTTGAAATGTATCACAGGAAGGATAATAGTGGATTTTCATTTTTTTGCATCTGTGATAGTAGCGCATTATTATTATTTTTATTATGATAACTGTTTTAGTAGGAGTTGATTTGTCATATATGAATATTTGTTGTTAAAAGAGCAGTAAACAGACTCCTTGAATTTTGAGTGGATGGATATAAATAATACTTTTTTATTATCGTTGGTTTATATCATTCACAAGAATGAGGAAGACAGGGGAATGAACTTGACTTTCTTAGTCCCTATTACCAGTGCTAGCTGGTATGATTATGTTCATCCCAGTTCAAGTATTTAAAGTGTCTTGCTGTAACATGTATGAATGTGCATTTTTTTTATTGATTTATTTTATTTATTTATTTTTGTATTTATTATTGAGGCAGTGATGCACTGGACATGGTGACTTGACAGGGGGACAGATTGGTGATGATGATTATTTGATGGTAACAGGTTTTGAAGGTAATTGATTGAAATGCAACAGAGCTAGTCAGATACGTTGCTTTCAACCAGTTATCACCCTCAAATGCATCTTTGCCATACTCCAGAAACGTCATAAGAACTAGCCTTTTTGTTTGTACTTAAATTTGTCATTATTAAGGAAGTTTAACCCACTAGCGTCGGTACATTTTCAAGCCGAAAATAATATTTTCTTGGCAACTTCAAAATCGGCGCATGGGCGAGTCCAGGAACCTGCCCATACGCAGACCGCCACGGGCGACAAAATCAGAGCACAAGCTCTGATCTAGCATCGCACGGGCGGGACACCTGGTAATGTTTATTTTTCCGGGTGTCACACATATGAGACGTCGTAGGTGGGTTACACATGTTCTCGAAAGAACAGCTACATCATGATGAGTATATGAAATCATTGATAGATATTTTCAAGCCAAAAATTCTTGACACAGAAAATCTGATATAATATCAAACTATAGACTTCCTGAATGATTATTGTCTGTTGCTTTTAGAAACAATGATCGAGTTAAACAATAATATCTGTTCTCAAGATGTTTGAAAAAAAAGCAAAGATTCCAGATTGTTAGCTTAAAATTAATGGGCCTGAATTGTCTTCAGCTTTGAAATTTTGATTTTTTTGACCTGTGTTGGCAGCTCCTAAGTAAAGTAATGTATTCAATGTGATATGTTGCAGCTATATTTATAAAAGTGATTAACATATCAACTGAAGATTCAAGCAAGAGTGACTTTGAATGGTGGTGCCTTTGCTAGATAAAGGATATAGTGAAGCACATTTATTTATTTATATTATATTATTATTATTTTATTATTATTTTTTTAAAAAAATCTTATTTATATATTTATTATTATGTCTCATTTTATATGTTAGCAGTTGTTATTAACATACTTAACTAACCTGTGAATTTCAGGAGTCTGGTATCCCAGGCAGTGATGGAGGCCGAACTAACCACAACAACAAGGTGGAACAAGTGGTGATGGATGGCAGGTACCGGGACTTGATCCGACTCATCAACCTGCAGCGAGAGAAACTAAATGTTCAGCAAGTGGAGATGACAAAGGTATCATCGCTCTCTTAGCACGGGATGTTATGTATATCTGCAGTTGAAGCAAAGATTAAGTATGAATTTGAGTGGTAGATTGATTATTTACTTTGTCCTTCTTTCTTTAATTTTAGTATGAAGCAGAGATTGTATACTTAGAGGGACGCACAAGGGAGGACGAGTCTCGTCTGGCTTATGTGACATCAGAAATAGAGAGGCAAGAGCAACTGGCAAAGCAGATTGATGAAGAGGTATAATGTTCATTTAGAACTTTGGACATTTTTTTGTCTCGGATTCAGTTTTTTTTTGATGGCTTAATGTTACTGTTTACATAACATAATCTTTTTACATACCCTCAAAACCTGTCATTCAAAAGTTGACCTTCTTTTCTTTCTTTGGTGCAGGTGACTCATCTACAACAACTGGAGCAAGAAGCAGAAATTGCAAGGCAGGAGGAAGACAAGGTGAAAGCAGAAATTAGTGCTTTGCAGGCACAGCTGGCACATACTGAGAACCAGCTGGCTACCCATGCTGAGTCCGTCAGGTCAGCTCAGTAAGACAAAGTGTTATTTTGTGTATATATAAAATCATATGGAATGAACCCTTTTGCTTGTATATTCTTTCTTTGTTTTCATTAAACCCACTGTCTATATAAATCTTGATTGTACATACTTTCTTCTGCCGTTTGCTAAAACATTCTCGTGAAATCTTCTTGCAAGAAGTGCATGGCGTATTGAAGAGATTTTGCATGATCTTCAAGTACAGATTGTATTTTTTTAGATATGATTTTCTATTTTATCTGTTGGGTAGACTTTAGGAAGAGCATGCAGTATGATGTTATGAGAGAAGGAGGTGGTGAGCAAAGTTAAAAGCATGAATTTAAAGCCAGATGAGTGTGTTGGGAAGTAGCTGTGCCAGGTATTAGTTTGGTTCAGTGCCTTGTGAGTTCCCGTGTAGGAAAGAAAATTTAAATAAGCAGCTATAAAGATTTACAAATTATAACTAGAAATGAGTAGACATTATGTTATAGTATATATAGTTTGATAACCAAGGATGCTATTTTTGAAGTATATAAGTTGACCTTTTCTAAGAACAGTTCATTAATGAGGCAGAATTATGAACTCTGGCTTTTAGTTTTCTTATATAAGAACAATATTTTACATCTCTTGAGTTAGTGAGGAGTGGAAGTGCTAATTAGTGTTAATGAATTTCACAGAGAACTTGAGAAGAGCATGACAGAGGAGCGGCAGCGTTGCCAGGAGGAGGCTCGAGCACAGCAGGATGCCATGGTCCGGGAGATAGAGAAACTTCAGGCAGCCATATCCCAGGCAACTGTACAGGCAGAGCATGCACAGCAAGCATCACAACAGCTTGCCCAAGAGGTACATTTCTGCATTGTCATGTTATTGTATAGGATTGATGTTAATAGTATATTCTTATTTGAAATAAAGAATTGGTGTTAGTAATATTTCTTTGTATAAATAAAGCATTTATTATGTGATGAGCTAAACTTTGCAGTGTTGAAGTGTGATGGTCCAAGATTTGTTTCCCTTCACAGATGGCGGAGTCTGAGAAAATGATATCCGAAAAGAAAAAGGAAGTGGAGAAGCTGGTGATGGAGATGAAGGATGCAAACCTAGAGTCCCTCTCCATAACACCATCAGAGGAGATCCGTACCCTTCTGGAGGGTAAGACAGGTATGGCACCAGTTCTTCACAAACTCATTTTTCTTAGCTGAGGTTTGATTGCAAGAAGAACCAAGAACCTCTTTTTGATCTTCAAAAATTTAGCTTCAAATGCTTATAACAGGTGACATTATTACATTGCAGAAACTCAGTCAATCAGCACATAGTTATCTTTATAATTCGCATACAAGATTGTTTTATATATTAATTAGTACTAATCTTTACTTATTAATCAGAATTTTAAAAAGATCATTTGGATTGTAATCTATTTGTGTGTCATTTACATATGTCACTTATGAAATTACATGTATTTATCTTTTAATTCAAATTTTCAAAAATTATGCATTTCCTTATACATATTTTAGTTGTATGTTTATTTATGTTAAACTTTATGGTATGGGTATATCTTCCAGTGTCTTTGGATTAACAGCTACTCTGAGTTTTTATTTCAACTGTATATATATATATATATAAAGAAGTGTCAGACTAAATTTTATTTCTGTTTGTGTATATATATATATGTATATATATATATATATATATATATATATATATATATATATATATATATATATATATATATATATATATATATATATATATAATAGATCATTGATTGCTTTATGTCTAAATTTTAGGTGCACCAAAACAAGGAAGCAGTAGGAGGATGATTGGATCCCCAAGGCAGCTAGAGAAAATAAAAGAACCCTCATGGGGTATGGGTGTAAAGGGAACCAAACTTTATGTTCGTCTCAGTACATATCACCCTGTAGTCTTTGCAGGTCTGTTACCACTAGAATCTCTTCCTGAATACTGACTTGATTAATGAGTTGAAATTGGTTCCATCTTTTTAGATCTGAAAAGAATCAAGTTCACAGATTTAAATTTGATTGATGTTAAGTGCTGAACCATTTCAGTGTGAATCTCACATTGTTGCAGGTGGTGCTTGTGTAATATACTTTTGATGGGCCCTCCTTATGTGTAAAGTGCTACTTACATTGTTGCAAAGAGAAAAGAGTTGCTTCTCATTTCCTTTATCAACTGTCTTTATATGAAACAACAAAGGAACCCATATTGTGTGTGGCTTTTAGAATAGGAAATCAGTATTTGTAAAGAGCACCCATTTATAGAAAATGCAGATATGTAAGGGAATAAGAAACCAATTGGATTTACAATGTATGTGCATGTTGGTAACCCTATTACTGTCTTTGTGAACAAGTAGCAGTCACGTTCAGCACACACTGTAGTCCATGCATTAACCTCCACAAGAACACCTATTTGAATGATCAGTGTGAACAAAAATGGGACTACCCACGTTCTTCACATTTTACTATTAGTGAGAAATACGCGGAAAATGAATGAAAAAGCCATCAAAATCTGACTTTAAAAGCCATAGAAAGTATTGAATGTGAGTATTGGTGCGCTGTCCATGGAAGATGATGTCAGCTGCTGAAGATGGAATCTCATGATACAGCTGACAAAAACCCAGGCTCTAGTCATTTTCTCATCGCACTGCTGGATCTTAACAGTTACAAAGCTCGCATCACATTGGCATTGGCCCAGCACAGCACCTACTTGGATAACACGGATGGGGTCCAGAGTAGCTGCTTGTAGAAACAAGTGTTTTCCTTTTCTTATTGTGTGCCTTGAGTAAGTATCCACCAATGAAATAGCTATTTTTGTATGAGCTATCAAATAATAATAGGATCAGTGCTGTTGCTTGGTGACAATAATTGTTACAAGTTGGCACATGGATGTGAAATTATCAGATCACTGTAACTGCTGGACAGAGCATGCAAGCCTTCTGGCTGTTTTGATCCTTGTTAAGAGCTTCTTGTTAGTTGTAGTAGACAGGTTCTTCATAGGTTAGTCATGCATAGCAGCACTTTACCATGTGGCAGTGTTGTGTGATAGTTTTTTGTTTTTTTGTTTTTTTTTTAGAGTTGACAATATTTGTGTAACTTCATAATGCATTATTTGAGGATAGTATTCTTTATTAATACCTACAAAAACAAGACTTGAGTTCTTTGTAAATCATGAAATTCACTAGATGATTTAATATTGGTCTTCTTTTTCCTTGAGGAGTAGATTAGTGATTAACAGAGATAATAAAATATTTGTCTTTGTGTGAAATTACCATTTTAAGTCTTGTGCTGTTTGCATGATTTTTTTTAACAGAAAGAGCTCAAAAAGGTTATTTTTTCTTAAAAGTGTACAGAAATTTTATGAAAAGATCATTAATTAGAAAACACATAGTTTATTACCAGATAGTGTAAAATATTGAGATACTTGTACTAAGTGTTTATTTTTCTCAAACATGAAACACTAATTGGAGCCATGTCTTGCCTCTCCATTTCTCAGTGTGAGACAGGGAAAGTTGCCTGCCCAAGTAAGCATGTGCTATTGACACCTGTCCACACAAACCTGATGGTCGCTATGTAGGTCTTTAGACCCTCTCTCATTCTACAAGTGTGAGAATATGTTGTAAGATAGCAGCATTATTAGTTCTTAGTAATATGTCTCCTTTTGTATTTTCATTGAGTATTGAAAGGGTTCATGATTGAAGCTGTTTGTTATTTGGAAAAAAGGTTTGGATTTTTTTTTTTTCCTCCAAGAAATAATAGGAGAAACAGAATAACTTGTAACTCTTGTTGTCTTTTCTTTTCTTTTTATATGTTTGGTGACTAGGAAAGATAAAGGGGTAATTCTGCAGCAAATGTGTCTTTATTGAGTGGATCTGCCCCTACACACTGCTCCATTTAAAGAGAAATGAACATCTGGAATGACTCAGTTAATATCGGTGTATAAAGTAAAATCAATATGTGGTGCAGCATCAAGTATCCATAAGTGTTTCTTTTGACATCCAGCACATCTAGAGAAACAATTGCCAAATCGACATCTTGAGCATGCTCTAAGTTATAGTCAAACTCTCTTCTGTCTGTTGGCATTAGAAATGTTGAAGATCATATTATTTCAGTCCATATGACTTGGTGGTGCTTGATTTTCTTTAATAATTTTTTTAAGCACTTTGGCAGCTGTTCATCTAGGTGTGTCATTTATTTAAAAGAATTATTTGCAGCATGTTACAGATCATCCAATATTGTTTCTGTTTTAGGCTACATTATTGTATTGAATGTGGTTATTTTGCTAGCCATGTCAAAGAAAGTGAATTAGAATCTTTATCAATGCATTTATTATATAATTTAGCCAAATATTATAAGTAGTACAGCTTTGTGTGGTCTGCGGACAAAGGTCTTGTGGTTTGTGGAAATCAGTTTCAATTAACCATTCTCAATGCTGATAATAGTATTGACAGTATTGATATTACTGTTACCTGAAATAAATTTCCTTTTAATCTTCATACAAGTAATGAAGAAATCTTTAGAATGCATGTAATGGTAAAGTTGGTGTTTGCAGTTATTTAATAATATTTAAATTCAAGATATGCAATTATTGTAATATGAATTCTTAACATCATAATCGTCCAGTCTTGAACACTCAAGTGAACAGGATTATGATGTTTGGAATTCATTGGTGCTTGATCCTTTGGATAATTACCATTGAAATGCTTACACTGAAGTATTTGGAACCAAGTTCTTGAGATCTTCCAATTCCATTCAGAATAGTGTACATGGTAGAACCAGTCCTTAGGTGAAACCCTTACCACAGTCCCTTTGTATGCACTAGGTGTTTTTAAGTCTTAGCTTTGTTTATATACATACATATCAGTTTTTAATGTGCTTTTAAAATAATTTTTGTTTGACAGCTATTGTGTTTTGAGTCAAGTCATATCGTGTCCATTATGTTGACTTGTCACTGGTGTACTTTTCTCTTCCTGTGTCTTCTCAAGGCATGTAAGAGGATAAATTGCCAAGATGACAAATTAATGTTGGACAGAGAAAATAGGCCATAGTGTGACATACCTGCCAAGTATTAACTAACTGTTTGTAGAAGAGATTATTGTTTGCTAAGAACCAGACCAGTTTTTAATATGATAAAGATTACAAGCCCATTTTGTAATATAGTATGTAAGTACATGCACTTGTGCCATGAATTTGAAGGTGTTTGTTAAGATAAATGTTACTTGGAAGTGGATCTTTCAGGCTGTCAGCGAGATATTTTTTTAGAGTCTGGATTTTGATTAGATCAGGTTTGGCTCATGTGATTTTTTCAGCACAGAAAATTTACTGCTTTGAGAACTTTTAAAATAATTTGTTTACCTGAAAAAACACCAAATACTTTTATTACTTGTTTAGCATATTTCATCTAACATTTTGTGACTTCTGTAATTCTCTTGATAGTTAAATCTTGTACTCATACACATGTAGACACAAGCTATGTATGTTATCAACCCTGTCTCTTCTTCCATGCTTTCCTATATGGGTGTGATCTTTTAATTTTCCATATTCTATAGCAGACATAGCAATATTTGGCAATTCAAAACCCAGGCTATAGAAAAAAACAGAGATGCCATGAAAAGGCAATAATGTACTTAATGCCAGGTTGAACTTTGTTGTTGCTCAACATGGTTTAAACCATAGACTATGTCTGAAGTCATCTTTCTGTGAAGAAATTCTATGGTAAGTATACCTGGAATGTATGTCACAGACAACTGTTGTCTGTCCTTAGATGGTGCTATCTTAAATCCCCTTTTTTGTCTTCTGGTAGTTTTTCTTTATCCAAATGAAAAGCAACATTGTCTATGTAGTACTGACAAGTTTTATTTTCATTATTATAATTTTTTTTTTTACTTAACTTTACTTTGCTTTACTTTCTATTTGTAATGTTGAAATTCATATCAGTGGCACATTTCACATTGATGTGTTTTTATCATTTATACCCAAAACTTAAAATAAAGTATAATCTTCACACTGAGTAACTTTTACATATCACTGCAAGGTATTTTATGTCATTAAAGTGCCTCTCCTTGACCAAGTGGTAAGACCTGTTTATAAGATGCATTATAGTAGTATAATGTAAGGAGACTTTTGGATGATGTTTGTCTATTTGTGATAGGAAGTCTTAAAGAACATTTTATGCAGAACCTAGACTGATTTGGCATTATCTTGAAATAGGTTAGCTGTGTCTGAAAAAGGATGTGAATATTATTGTTTTTTTCATATTGCTTGAACATATTTGAGAAATGTCTTGTTGATAAATTCACCTGGAATAATGTTATGATTAAAGGAACTGTTAAATTGTGCAGTGTATTTTTAAATCAAATTTGTAATGATGTATTTACTTGTTATACAAGGAACATGATAAAATTTCACTAAAATGTGTGTGTAGAAATAAAAAGTAATATTTATTCACAGTTCTTTTAAAGAAGGAAATGCTCAAAATTGTTTTTAAAACCAGTGCTTGAAAAAATGTTGTGTGT